CCGCGGCTGCTCTGTACCAAAACCCGGGAGATTCTTGGTTTTTTTTTTGTTTCGTGCTTAATCGATTTACCTAGCGAAAGAGATCGAAACACATTTGATCAATCTGGGGAAATCGAAAATCTCAATTTTGCTTTCGCTCGATCGGATTGTGAATTCGTCGTTTTTGCTGAAATTGAGAAGAAATTTCCAGTTTCTGGGTTTGTAGTTTTCTCTCTTGTGTTCGATTTATCGGATTTCTGATTTGATCAAGCTAGGGCTAGTCTTAAGGTGGATTTGTTTGGGGTTTTTACTCTTTCGTTGATCAGTATTGAAGATTTTTGTGTTACGGTGACGAATTTGGGGCTGATTTTGGGGGTTTGGGGATTGCCATGTTATAAAAGGGGCTAGGGTTTGGTGGTGAAGATAGAGAGAGAGAATAGAAATGGAGGAGTCTGAACTTGAAGAAGGAGAGGCTTGTTCTTACAATATTTCTAACGATTATGGTGGAAGCATAGACCCAGATAACGATCTCACTTACATTGTGAGACCTTTTTCTCAGCTTGTTTAGGAGTAATCTATTTAATTTGTGTCTTATTTAGAACTTGATTATGAATTGTGTAAGTGTTGAATGTTGCAGTGTTTGTCTTACCTAGTCTCTTTGAAATTAGATTGCATCAGTTTGGTAAGGATATTAACTTGTAGAGCTTATAAGGATGTGTATATGGTATGTGTTTTTAAAATGCTATGGATGGTAATGTTTTGTAATTTCATTATGATTCAAACATGTTCTAATTGTTAAAACTATTTGAAGGCTTATTATCTACATTCCATTTGGAAGTTTTTAGTTTAAGTGAAATCTTTAGTTTGCGAGTGCCGCGTATTCAATCAGATTTTTACAGAACATGTATGGACAAGTTTCAACCATCGGTTACAATTTTACTGGATAAGTTTTCTTAGAGGTTTTAAAATGATTTTCTGATTAGCTTCAGTAGTATCGAGACAGGAGTTTCGTAAAAGCATCCGCACCTAAGTGTCTACGATTTGATATTTTTGGGAAGTAATCTCTGTTGCGGTTTTTGACCTTTATTTGCTGTTGTTTACTTGGAAGGATGAGAAGCTTCAAAACATTCTTGGACACTTCCAGAAAGACTTTGAGGGCGACTTTTCAGCTGAGAATCTTGGTATGTTGATGTGTGGCAGCAACTGTTCTACTTCGTTGGTCCACAAAGTGTGAAACTAGTCCTTTTGAATTTGATTACAGGGGCGAAATTTGGTGGCTATGGCTCTTTTTTACCAACTTATCAACGTTCTCCTGTTTGGTCTTATCCAAAGACACCAGCAAAACCTCAGAGTTCTGCAGGGACTAGATCTCCGAATATCTTACTAGGGGAGGTAATATGTTTCTTTTTGGGTCTGCGGTTTGCTC